GACCCTTTTGACCTCAATATGAACCAATTTGATAGCGGGGCCCACAAATAAAAAATCTAAATTCATGGTTAGATTCAGCATATCAAAGAACCCCATATATTCAATTTATGTTAAAATCAAAAAAAGTTTTATTTTGGACCCCAACTTGGACCAACTTGAAAACTGGGCCCATAATCAAAAATCTAAACACATGTTTAGATTCAGCATATCAAAGAACCCCAAGAATTCAATTTTTGTTAAAATCAAACTAAGTTTAATTTTGGACCCTTTGGACCTCAATGAAGACCAATTTAAAAAACGGGACCCAAATTAAAAATCTAAAAACGCGGTTAGATTTGGCATATCAAAGAAACCCAATAATTCAATTTTTGATGAAATCAAACATAGTTTAATTTTGGACCCTTTTGACCTCAATATGAACCAATTTGATAGCGGGGCCTACAAATAAAAAATCTAAATACATGTTTAGATTCAGCATATCAAAGAACCTCATATATTCAATTTTTGTTGAAATCAAACAAAGTTTAATTTTGGACCCCAATTTGGACCAACTTGAAAACTGGGCCCATAATCAAAAATCTAAATACATGTTTAGATTCAGCATATCAAAGAACCCCATATATTCAATTTTTGTTGAAATCAAAGAAAGTTTAAATACTGGACCCTATCTTGGACCAACTTGAAAACTGGGCCCATAATCAAAAATCTAAACACATGTTTAGATTCAGCATATCAAAGAACCCCAAGAATTCAATTTTTGTTAAAATCAAACTAAGTTTAATTTTGGACCCTTTGGACCTTAATGTAGAGCAATTTAAAAAACAGGACCCAAAATTAAAAATCTAAATACACGGTTAGATTTGGAATATCAAAGATCCCCAATAATTCAATTTTTGATGAAATCAAACATAGTTTAATTTTGGACCCTTTTGACCTCAATATGAACCAATTTGATAGCGGGGCCTACAAATAAAAAATCTAAATACATGTTTAGATTCAGCATATCAAAGAACCTCATATATTCAATTTTTGTTGAAATCAAACAAAGTTTAATTTTGGACCCCAATTTGGACCAACTTGAAAACTGGGCCCATAATCAAAAATCTAAATACATGTTTAGATTCAGCATATCAAAGAACCCCATATATTCAATTTTTGTTGAAATCAAACAAAGTTTAAATACTGGACCCTATCTTGGACCAACTTGAAAACTGGGCCCATAATCAAAAATCTAAACACATGTTTAGATTCAGCATATCAAAGAACCCCAAGAATTCAATTTTTGTTAAAATCAAACTAAGTTTAATTTTGGACCCTTTGGACCTTAATGTAGAGCAATTTAAAAAACAGGACCCAAAATTAAAAATCTAAATACACGGTTAGATTTGGAATATCAAAGAAACCCAATAATTCAATTTTAGATGAAATCAAACAAAGTTTAATTTTGGACCCTTTTGAACTCAATATGAACCAATTTGATAACGGGGTCCACAAATAAAAAATCTAAATACATGGTTAGATTCAGCATATCAAAGAACCCCATATATTCAATTTTTGTTGAAATCAAACAAAGTTTAATTTTGGACCCCAATTTGGACCTACTTGAAAACTGGGCCAAAAATCAAAAATCTAAATACATGTTTAGATTCAGCATATCAAAGAACCTCATATATTCAATTTTTGCTAAAATCAAACAAAGTTAAATTTTGGACCCTTTGGACCTTAATGTAGACCAATTTGAAAACTGGACCCAAAATTAAAAATCTAAATACACTGTTAGATTCGGCATAACAAATAAATAAATGTGATCAAAGATTTTACAAATCTAATGCGCCATACTGTGCAATTAAAGATTACTTCTTGAAATTTTTCAATATTTGAAATTTGAAAAAAAAATAATATTTGAAGAATAATTCTTTTTAATTTCTGAAATCTGAAATGAGAAAAAATGGACCCCCCACAATTTCTTTTTACCCCCCCCCCCCCCCTCTTTTTTCCCCCAAAAAATTCTTTCCCTCAAGATATGGTCATAATCTCAATTCAAATTTCCAATGGAGTTGGCAACCATAATTACCCATTTAAATTTACCATCGTGCTAACTTAATCTATTTTATAATAGAATTGAAAATATAGTGTCAAATCTTTCATATGGATTTTTTGGTAAAAAAAAAAGATGCAACATTTGCAGATATTTTTACTGGTCTTCCTTTATAAATATGCATTTCTTTAAACATAATTTAAAAGCAGTGTAAGGGAAGTAACCAAAACGTTGTATTTGGATTACCCCCCTTACACTGTTTTAAATTATCTTTATTGTTCATTAACCATTACTTTATACATAATTTAAAAGCAGTGTAAGGGAGATAATTTCAATGATGTATTTGATTTATCTCCCTTACACTGCTTTAAATTATGTTTTGTACTAAAGTATTTGTCCATTAACCAGGACAACCTTGTTTTTCCCCCTAATTCCTAAACGGTTTGAGCCATAACCCCCCAAAGCAAATCCTAACCATCCCTTTGTGGTATGGAAACTTGTAGTATAATTTCAGAGAGATCCATACACCGTTCCACAGTTATTGTCTGGAAACTAGAAAATGCTTATTTTTGGCCCCTTTTTGGCCCCTTATTCCTTAACTGTTGGTACCATAACCCCCAAAATCAATCCCAACCTTCCTTTTGTGGTATTTAACCTTATGGTCAAATTTCTAAAAGATCCATTCACTTAAACTAAAGTTAGAGTGCGAAAACCAATGTGTCTTCGGACGGCGACGCCGGACGACGACGACGCCAACGTCATACCAATATACGACCACAAAATTTTTTTGCGGTCGTATAAAAATGTAATGTTAACTTAAAAAGTGAGCCCATTTATCAGCGGAAAATGAAAATAAGTATTTTAAAACTTTTGCTCTGAATACTGTATTTAGGTTATAACTAAGCGTCTGTCCAAAATTTCTAAAATTCTATAAAGGTTTGACAAAGTTATTCATGACTGAAAAACTTTATCCTCAGACTGGATTTACTTGTTAACCTGTTAACTGTAAAAAAAACTAAGTCCAATAATCAGTAAAATACAGAAAAATGAAAAATAAACATTTTAAAAATTTTGCTTTGCATACTGTATTTTGGTCATAAACAAACTTCTGTCACAATTTCCTAAAATTCCATGACGGTTTAACAAAATTATTGATGTCTAAAAAAGCTTTAACCACAGAATGAACCTAAATGTTGATGCCGCCAACAACGGAATTTAGGATCGTGTCTCGCTTTTGCGACATAAATGTTGCAGGCTCAACAAAAACTGGTCATAACATATAAGGAGACGAATGACAAAAAAATAAAGCGTATACGTAATATATAGATACTCATTATACAATTCTAAACCCAATACATATCCAATCAATATCTATGAAAAGTTTAAATAGCTTTTTCTTTTTTTTATTTTCAACCTGATATCACCCCCAGGTTTTGATGTGGTTCGTGTTGCTCAGTCTTTAGTTTTCTATGTTGTGTTTTGCGCACTGCTGTTGGTCTTTTTCTTTTTCAGCCATGTCGTTGTGTTTATTTTCGACAAATGAGTTTGAATGTCAACTTTGGCATCTTTTGCCTCTCTTTAGTAATCAAGGAGCCAGCCATGTTCGATAGCAGATACTTGTTTTGTAACTTTGACAATCAAAGTACTGAAGTACTGAACATCGGATGACCACAAGTTCTTGTGGATGGTCAAAAGCACTTGTCTCAGAAAAAAATCACATATCTCTTTACCTGAATCTGAGGTTAATGTACAGAGATATTTTTTTTTCTGAGACAAGTTCGTGCGGGGATGATGAATAAATGACAGGAAATTCAACTTCACCGTAATAACTATTATATTGTAGTGATACAAATCAGTATACACTGATTTGTTGTTATATATCATATTAAAATAACAGTTACATGTATATATGATTTCCATCCATTTGTATATCATTCTGTTCTACTATTCTAATAATAGTGCAATGCAAGTGCATGGTGGACACTTTTCTGTAAAAATTCGATTTTTCTTAAAGATTGGATACGAGTACGCAGGCATTCATATTTTCCCGCAAAAACAATTACAGAGTTACCGGTCCTTGCCGGTATTGTCGCAAAAGGTTCTTTGAGATATTCTTCCGCATGCTTGATCACAATTTTTCGGTACGTGTGCATTGATATTATCAATGATTTTTTACTTATATATATATATATCTAACTACAAAACATTTTCATATTATTAATTTATGTTGTAAACAAAAATATTTTTATCAGTATTCATTAAAGAGATGTATTTATATCAAACGATAAGGAATGTTATTTTGCACTAGTTTATGTGCACATATTTATCATGTTTATAGATCGGTTACAAACCCAAAACTAATTTACATAATGGAAATCTAGGCGATAGCATTACATACATCGGAATGACCTCAAGGTCATCGCGATGTAAAAATCATACAGAAATCATTTACTGCATGGAATTTCTGAAATTTTTACTTTCTCACATGAATACAAAATGTAAATGATCACAATCCTGTTTGATGGCATTTTCCTTTTGTTAATCTTCTCAAGGGGATTATTAAACTGTAAACATGGTAAAAGAAAGACCAAGCTCATTCACCAATTTGTCTTGATTGCACTTGTTTCTCTATCTAGCTACAGTTCTTTGCATTAAGAATTGTATATGATTTAAATGATATATATATATATATATATATATACATACAAGTCTAAATTGAAAATATATATATATATATATATATACAAGTCTAAATTAATATATATATATATATATATATATAAGCAGTATCAATGTTTTGCATCTGACTGAGTAAACAAAAAAATCCACTGACTACATGCTTGACGTGTAGCTATATTTCTAGAATTTAAGACAATTAAAATGGATCTATAAATCTTCTGTAATAATACTTTTAATTAGAAATAATTGCTCATCAATATATTATACATTGCAATATACCAACCTTTAATGTCTTGATAACATCTCTCTCTAGCAGTCTGAAATTAAAAAGAAAAAGATAAAGCAAATCCTCTATGAGTAAATCATGTACAATCAATGCTGGATGTTGGTAATTGGACAAGTCATCAGTAGCTATCTGGATGATATTTATGCTATTTTTTTTATGATATTTATGACTAAAACCATATGGTAATCAAATTTCATTCAAAATTTATCTAAACAAGATTCAAAAGTGATGGGTTGTCTAAGCTTTGAAACTGAGATGTTCACTGATTGGTAATATTCCAGTCATATGGCTTTATTTGCTACACATGATCCATGTTGTCACAGGTTTACAATAAAAACAAATTGTTATCATGGTTATCTTTCACTGCTTAAAAACAATGCTCTTTGTATGTCAACAGTACTTATCAGTATTAGTATAAGATAGCTACAATGTATATTCATTCTGGTCCTTAGATATGTAATAAAACAAGTTGAACTCTGAGCTATTGGTTTCAAATTAAACCCCCCTTTTCAAGTATTTGGTTAACAGAAAGTGGATGAGCAATAGATGTGAAAATGCATTACAGGGTACAGCATGCTCACATTACACTGGATCATAAATTTAAGAACACTCTCATTTGTAGTTTCCAAGAAAAATGCAACTAAAATTTCACACATTGCAACTATGTGTTAAAATATATAAGAATTCAGTTAATTGGGAGTTGTACAGAAGACAGAGAAATATTGTTACAAAAATTAATAAAATGCTTCGCTGAGCGCAGCCTGATACGACCGCAGTGGTCGAACCCTGAACAGTTGGTACAAATTTGGACACAATATTCAAGCTTAATACTGTCTGAATTTGGATTGTGATCAAATTTTTGACATAATATAGATTTCTGACACAAAATAAATGTGGTCAAAGATCTTACAAATCTATTGCGCAATACTGTGCAATTGAAGATTTCTTCTTGAAACTTTTCAAAAATTCAAAATTTGAAAAATTTTGAAAAAAAATATGAATCCCAAAAAAAATTGGGGGAAAAAAATCCCCCCCCCCCCCCCCAACTTTTTGAAACCCCCCTTGGTGCAATAACCTCAAAACTCGATCCCAGCCTTTCCTTTGTAGTATGGAACCTTGTAGTACAATTTCAGAGAGATCCATACACTTAAACACAAGTTATTGTCTGGAAACTAGAAAAATGCTTGTTTTTGGCCCTTTATTCCTAAACTGTTGGCCCCATAACCCCTAAAATAAATCCCAACCTTCTACTTGAGGTATTAAACATTGTCGTACAATTTCAGAGAAATCGAAATACTTATACACAAGTTATTATCCTGAATGCTTGTTTTTTGCCCCTTTTGGGCCCCTAATTCCTAAACGGTTGGGACCATCATCCCCAAAATCAATCCCAACCTTCCTTTTGTGGTATTGAACCTTCTTAAAAAATTTCATAGAGATCCATTCACTTAAACTAAAGTAATTGTCCGGAAACCAATGTGTCTTCGGACGACGACGACATCATACGATCCCAAAATTTTTTTTGCAGTCATATTAAAAGAGCTCAATTAAAAAATATTTTTATGAAAGAACTGCTGGTGGTCCAAAATCAACAACATTTTATTCCACTATTAAAGCATTTTTATCTAATATAAGCATTAAATCAAACAATAACATAATTTTATATGAAAATGATAAAATTCTCAGTGATCCTAAAGAGGTATCAGAAATTTTCAATAAATTTTTCATAAAAATAGCTAAAGATATAGGAGGCAAAAACATTAAAAAAGAAATCACCCAAGTCTAATAAAAATTGAAGAAAATAAAACTGATTATAATGAGTTGAATTTTAAACCTGCAACAGAAGAGTTTGTGAGTAAACAAATAAATAGATTAAATATAAGAAAAGCTACTTGATATGACAATATTTCACCAAAAATTATAAAAATGGCACAACCAGTAATATCATATCCTATTAAAATTTTAGTTAATTCATCAATTGAAAGTTCAATTTTTCCAGATAATTTTAAAGCTGCTTAGGTATCCCCACTTTTTAAAAAGAATAACTCTCTAGATTAAGAAAACTATAGACCTGTAAGTGTGTTACCATGTATTTCCAAAATTTATGAAAGAGCTATACATGATCAATTAATGGAATTTTTAAATAAACATTTTCATCCTCTTCTTTCCACATTTAGGTCAGGTTTTGGTTGCCAAACAGCACTTATTAAAATAATAGAAGACTGGAAAAATGCTCTGGACGACAACAAATTTATTGCCGTAATTCTGATGGATCTATCTAAAGCATTTGATTGTTTACCGCACAATTTACTTTTACTAAAATTGGAATCATATGGTCTGTCAAAAAATTCTCTAAAATTATTACAAAGTTATTTAGAAAACAGAAAACAACGTATCAAAGTTGGAAGTTCTTACAGCGAATGGGATTGTATGTTTAAAGGTGTACCACAAGGGTCAATTCTTAGTCCATAGATATAAGAAGATGTGGTATGAATGCCAGTTCTTTTCAATGTCTTCATAAATGACATATTTCATTTTGTACAAAATAACACCATTTATAATTGTGCTGATGATAACACTGTATCATATAGAGATTATGATATAGATAAAGTTGTTGAAAGTTTAGAAACTGATAGTTTAAATCTAATAAACTGGTTTTCGATAAATTTAATGAAGGCTAATCCAAAACAAATTCCAGGCTATAGCCATTGGAAAAAAACAAATAAACATATTTTGACATTCAATTTAAATGGAAACAAAATTTCTTGTGAAGAAAATGTTAAACTTCTGGGAATAACTATAGCTTCAGACTTAAACTTTAACAATCATATATCTGAAATATGTAAAAAGGCATCAAGACAATTAAATATTCTAAAACGAATGGGTAAATATTTAAACAGGCTAGGTAGGTTAACAGCATACTACTCATTCATTCTTTCGAATTTTATCTATTGTCCAGTAATTTGGCACTACTCTAGTGAAAAAAATTCCTTTAAAATGGAAAAAATTCAAGAAAGAGCTCTTAGATTCATCTATGAAGATTATGAAAGTTCATACGAAAATCTGCTAGAAAATTCAAAATTACCTTCTTTAAAAATAAGAACAAGAGGCTGTCGAGTGACAGCAAACTGGATTTTCCTGCAGAGGTCGAACCCTGAACAGTTGAGCAAGTATGGACACAACATTTAAGCTTAAAACAGCTCTGAATTTGGATTGTGATTGAATATTTAAAATAGATTATTATCTAATTAATAATGAAAAAGATATTTGCAAAAATGAACCCCAAACAGAATCATGTAAAAATTAAGCATTAACACACACAACAAAAATAAAATACCACATAACAACTGTGACATCTACCTTCATTACACACATGACTTAAGAAAATAGTTATAAAGAAATTTTGACAACTAACGATTAAAATTAATTGAACAGAATCCATATACTAATTTATCATTACTGGTTCATGGAATGAGTTTGAGTCATTTCCCTTTGAACAGAAATATGGTTTAACTAATAAAGAAAACATAGTTCTCTAAAATTAGATATGATGTTACACAATGTATATCTATTTTCAAATTATAATCAAATATAATTAATAGTTCCAAATATTTTTTCTTTCATTTGTCACAAACTAATACAGATCTGCAACTTATCTATCAATGTCAACAACTTTATCTTCACAATGTAATGTAATGAAATATATCCTTTAATAAAAATAGATTATTATCTAATTAAAGGAGTTCACTTCCTAAAAAAAAATTATATATATAGCATTCAGAAAATTAGTTTATACAGAATAACAAACAAACCTACCACAAAATTCTTCAAACAATTTACCAAAGAAAAGAAAAAAAAATCCAAAATGTCATTTATCATTAATACAATGTCTTTTAAAAATCTTTTAAAAAATTAGTTATTTCCCTTTGTACAGAAATGGAATAATTCATCAAAAATAGAATTCTTGAGAAAGGGCTATAACTCAACAACGAGAAAAGCTACAATCATGAAAATTGAACTTGACCTTCCTTTAGTCACAGGAAACAACATATCTAAAATTTCGTCAAAGCATTTTCACGTTAATGAACGGACACTGTTCGGCAGCCGCCCGCCATACATCCCCAAATCAATAACCGATTTTTCCTTCGAAAATCCGGTTAATAAAAACTATTGCAACAAAAACTTTCAAAATAATTCACAAAAAAAGTCCAAGCTATCTTCATGAATTAATAGATATCAAAATTCAGAAGTATGATTTAAGATCACAGAAAACAGCAGTATTCACGAGAGTCAGAACTACCAGGTATGGTTTAAGATTGTTTCGCTATAATGCTGCACAAATCTGGAATGAGCTGCCTAACCATTGTCGAATGGAAACATCTTATAACCTATTCAAAAAATTGGTACAAACATGGGATCCAAATAACAGCTCATGCCAGTGCAGTGCATGCATATAGTGTTGTTATACCTGTGCTTTTTTATTTTATGTGTGACTATTTGATTTTTTTAGCTTTTTTAGTTGCTAGTATCTGCTGTGCTTATCATTTTATATTGTGCTATGTTTTAAGATATACTTTAATTTGCATGCTATGCTTTTTAACTTTTATATGTCATCTATGGTATCTTACTATGCACTGTATGTTTAAAATTGTGTTGTTTTCATGACTTATGTATGTGTGTATATATGTTGTTATTCAGTTGATTTGAAAAGCTCACTAGAGCTTGTGTTTATGTAGTTTATTGAATATCGACTTTAAATAAATCTTTGAATTGAATTGAGTGGTTGAGTAATGAAAATCTGAAAATGCATCACACAGTAAAGCATGCTCACATGAAACAAAATACCATACATGGTCATTACATCTATCTAAATTGTATGTTTAAGAATATATCTTAAGTGTTCAGTAAACAGGAAGTTCATAAGCAATGAATGTGAAAACACATCACTGGTTATAGCATGCTCACATGAAGCTTGCTACCAAATTTCTGAATTGTAGATCCTAAAAGAAGTTTGACAAAAATTTCATGGGA